GAAGTGGGTCCAACCTGGAACCCGGGAAGCTTCTCACAGGAACCAGCCCTGTAGCCCCCTCCACAAACCCAATACATCCCCGAAATTTTGAAATGTCTTGGTTCTTTTCTTGTGCAACGCTGGCACTCAGGTGTCTTTGATTTTACAAGTTTTTAATCTCATTTGGATGGATCAAAAAAAAAAAAAGTACATGCAGCTTAAAATATGACAGAGTGTAAGTGCTCCTTGAAATTATAGTTCTCAGTGCTTGAGGGTTTCTTCTGTGTGTGGATAATTTTTAGAAAAAGTTACTGTCTCATGTTTTAGTTGTTTGTGTGTGTCCCCACTTAAGATATTACTGGGTCTTCAACTATTTCATGGTTAAAATTAACTTTGTCACTTTTTGAAGTAAAATTCTGTGTATCTTTCCCATCAAACCTGCTTTCATCAAAACTGCACAATTAAATGCTGCAAGGTCACTTTGCAGACTGGCCAGTGAAAATGCACCTAATTTTTCCACTTAACTACACAGTTCTCTGTTCTGTGCCAAAGTGCTATTTTATACAGACTCACTGTAATTATACAGTGATGATTAACTTTGTAGAGTGTGGCGATACCTGATACAGAAGATAAATGCTTTTCAAAACGGAGCTACTGTAAGGTAACAAATTAATGTGCGATGAAGGTCAGATTTTTAGCAGTAATTCTCCAGTGTCCTGTCTTGTCCTGCTAACAGAGACAGCACAAATGCCTCCCTTCAAGAAGGGGTAGCATCTGTGATCAGCCAGTCCCTGGAGCAGCCATCCCTGAATCACCAGCCAAAAGACTACTGGTAGAGAGGAATGGGCAGTGAAGGCTGTCAGTCTTCCTTTTGAAGGCATTTTCTTCCCCGCTGTTTCAGGAATAGCAGCTTCACTTCCACCCTGAGGACAGGAGAATTTGTCCTTTAAGAGCCTTCAGGTGAAAACTAGGTAAAAGGATCTGTAAATATGGATATGAAAACACAGTTTTTGCATTATTTCTATTCTACTCCACTTTCTCTTCTATTTCTGTTGTACTTGCTTTTATTATATAAAAGTTTCCTGTCTTCTGTGGTAAATCACTTTTGATAAATCACATCACCTTTTTTTGTAGGATGTTTTACCGTTTACTGTTAAATTACTACAAATGGTAGTAGCTGGAACAGTTACTGCCATTTTCACTAAGTGCTGTCTGCATCCTGGAATTTCCTAAGTGTTACAGTCCAGTCCACACCAAAACATTTAAGATGATGGGAGCTTTCATTTAAGCATGTAAGTAGTCCTGGGGCAGTCAGAAGGATGACTCAAGGTTTCTAAAAGTTAAGCACTTTCTTAAATATTTTGTTAGGTCTGGTGCAACTTTCCATCACTTTGAGAGATTGGGCAGCCATCTTTCAGTAATGTGTCAGCACCAAGTCCAGAATATGGGTCCAAATAATTCAATTAACAAAAAAAAAAAAAAAAAGGGTGTAGTCCTGCCCTTTCTTTCATGCTCAGTAAAGGAAAAAAATCTGGTATGTCAAGGAGAGTTTAGGTTATACTTTGGGTCTCTTTCTGTTGAATCACATTTCTGGTTTATGTGTTACCTAGTAGTAAAATAAATGGAAGTTCTCCAAATGTTGGTATACATGCTAACATATTACAATACTTCTAAATAGCAGAGGGAATTTAGAAACATCAAAGCAGTTCACCATGCAGCCTTATAATGATGTCATGGATAATGGGGACATAGCAATATCCTTCAAAAAACAAACAGAATCAACATACAACCTGTCTGAATCTGATGATTAGTTAAAGAGGGTGAAGGTTAATGAGTGCTCTGAAAGTTGGAGCGGGTGCTGAGCTTGTGTGTTCCAATGGCTGCTGTGAGAGAAATAGGTATGCAAAAACAAGAGCTGGACAAGTCATGGCAGCAGGAACGACTCAATGAAGTGGGCATCAGCCCACCAACAGCTTGGCCTGAGACACAGGGCTTGTGCTTGGGGGATTTTGCTCTAATTGTGGTGCATGAACAGTGTGAGGGTTTGAAACTGAACTTTTGAACTCTCAAATACAAACCTGCTGCTTGCTGGCTACAGCTCTGTGGGCTGCTTGTGACTTCTTGTGATACTTGAACTAAATAAAAGGGGCATTTCCTGATTCCTCCCATTAACAAATAGGCATGAGCCAGTGAGTGGACTGATCATGCTTTGTGCATTTGCATGTTGTCCTGGGTTGAGTGAGTGGTGGAGTTTTTTGGTGGCAGGGGAGGGGCCTATAGGGGTGGCCCCCTGTGAGAAGCTTCTCGAAGCTCCCCCAGCACCAAGCCAGCTCCACTTCTGTTTGGAAAATTGAGCCAATCATCTGCACCTCTGCGATAACGTATTTAAGAAGGGACGTGGTGACGGGCAGTGGGACTTGTGAGGAGGAGTTGCTGCAGCTGCGTGAACACCAAGGTCAGTGGAGGAACGGAGGAAGAAAGGAGGGGGGAGGTGTGCCGGAGCAGAGACCCCCCTGTATCCTGTGGTGAGACGGCAGGGCGGCCCCCCCTGCCACCCATGGAGATCTACGGTGGAGCAGACACTGATTTATGGCCTGTGGCTTCTGCTTGTCTGATCAAGGTGCTGTGCCCAAAGAAGGCCGGGGTCTTGTGGGAAAAGGCAGCCCCGCTGCTGTAATTCAGCGCTGGGAGGATTGCAGCATGCGGGGGTGTCCCACGCCGGAGCAGCTCGGGAAGGGCTGCAGCCGTGGGAGGGAATCCAGTCAGAGAAAGAAGACCCCTGATGGAGCAGTGTGGGGAACGCTGTGGCCCGTGGGAGGAATTCAAGTTGGAGAAAGTTTGTGGAGGACTGTCTCCTGTGAGAGGGGGACCACGATGGCGCAGGGGGAACAAGTTCCGGACAGTTCCCTCACCGAAGATGAAGAAAGTGGCAGCACTGCACCCCCCATTCCCTGCCCCTGCGCCACTGGGGGAGGAGGTAGAGATATCGGGAGCAGAGCTGAGCCCGGGAAGAAGGGAGGGGTGGGGGGAAGGTGTTCTTAGGATGTGGCAATGCTTCTCACTGTTCTACTCTGTTATGTGTTGTTAGTGTCTGTAATAAACGTATGTTCTTTTTTTTCTTCCCCTAACAAGTCTGCCTTTTGCTCGTGACCATAAAGGGGAATTTTTCCCCATCCCAGTCCTATCTCGAACCCCAAGCCTGGCTCTCTGTCCCTTCTCATTGTCGGAGGGGAAGGGAGAGAGAGCTGCTGCATTGTGGTTGGCTGCCAACCAGGCCCAAACCATGACACATGTAGACTGTCACATAGGAAAGGCAAGGGCTTGGGGAGCAGAAAGAAATGTGAACATCCTGCAGGGAGAAGGATCTTGGAAGGGAGAGATCCTGGAGATGGGAGAGATGCATGGAGACAAACGCTGGGACAGCCTGAGGACTTGGGTCTGGTAACAGTGAGCAGCTGTGGGGCAGGGAGCCAGCGCAGCCTTCCCAGAGCTGCGGCCATCTCCCTGATGGGAAGGACTGGTGAGCCTAAGTGAGTAGGTGAGATAACAGGTTAGGGTGACAGCTCAGATACCACTGGTCTTAAAATAAACCTCTGTATTCTGATCTGCAGCTTGTCTTGCTCGTGACACTAGTGTAGGATAAACACATTGTCTATTATGGATCTACTCCTGAATTGTGGCCAAGACCACTGGATGACATCTGCATTGATTAAGATACTAAAATGCAGTATCTGTTCTTGGAGAGTGTCTGTTTAGAAAGGACTGTCAGTAAGAGGCACATTACTGGGGACATTGGATTTCCATTTACTAACTTCACAGTATCTCTCTTAATTGCAATACCCCTTCTAATTCTCATTCCTTTTTGTGTTGCTGATGGCTGCAGTTTTCTTCTGAGTCATTAACTGGAATACATTTGTTTAGCTTTAAAAGGGATCATAACTTTAGTTGATTCTCTCACAGTGCTGATATCCTAAATAATGCATGAGGTATATTTATAAGTGCTCTTTGGTGATGACTGTTACCTAATACACTTGTTTCACTGTGCATGTTTATGTAATTTAAAGATGTTGAATTGACTCACAGGCATCAAAATGTTGCTGTGCACATCATTATGTAGCTGATTATTTAACGCCTTTTGAAAGTACTGTGAGATTTCATAGAATCGTAGAATGGTTTGGGTTGGAAGGCACCTTAGAGATCACCTAGTTCCACCCCCCCTGCCCCGGGCAGGGACACCTTCCCCCAGCCCAGGTAGCTCAAGGCCCAGTCCAGCCTGGCCTGGAACCCTTCCAGGGAGGGGGCAGCCACAGCTGCTCTGGGCACCCTGGGCCAGTGTCCCACCACCCTCACAGGAAGAAATTTCTTCCTTAGATCTAATCTAAATCTGCCCTATTTCAGTTTTGAACTGTTACCTCTCATCCTATCATTCCCCCCCAGTAAAGAGTCCCTCCCCACCTTTCCTGTCCCCCCTTTAAGCACTGGGAGGCTGTTATGAGGTCTCCCCGGAGCCTTCTATTCTCCAGGCTGAACCCCCCCCACTCTCTCAGCCTGGCCTCACAGGGGAGCTGCTCCGGCCCCCGATCATCTTCGTGGCCGCCTCTGGACCCCCTCGAGCAGGTCCCTGTGCTGATGTTGCGGCCCCCAGAACTGGACACAGCACTGCAGGGGGGGTCTCACGAGAGCGGAGTAGAGGGGGAGAACCACATACGTGCTAGTGCGCCCTAAAAACCTACAGCTGCGGAGTTGCGGGGTGCCCCTTTGCCGGGTCAGCGCCCGGCAGGCGGGGTCCCGGCGGGGGGGGCGGCCCCGCCTCAGCCCCCCGCGGTGCCGGCTGGGCGAACGGCGGCGGTGGGGGCTCCGGCAGGGGCCGGGGGGGGGGGGGGGCGCTGGAAGCTTCGCCCCTCGGTCCCTTGCGGGTCCCCGAGGCGGTGGCTCCGCGGGGCGGGTGGGGCTCCGCGGCGGAGCGGAGCGGCGGGGCCCGGGGGCGGTCCGACGGTGTCTGTCTTTCAGAATTACAGGAAAAAGCGTTGCTTGTGCCGAGCCTGGTAACTTCCTATTTTGTTACATCCCTTCGCTGTCGCGAGGAGGCAGGGGTCCCCGTGAGGCGAAACGCCCGTTCTGCTGCTGCGGTAAGTGAAAGGTTGGGGGTTTTGTTTTGTTTTGTTTTTTTTCTCAGAGGTCCCTCTGTTAATTTAAGTTAATATGGAGCATGGAAAGTGTGAAACTTCCCCGGAGCATTACTCGAGTGGATCTTTACCCGCGGGGATGCATGCTTGCATTCATGTCTCTCCAGATGTTCGCCCCAGACTTGAGGCTGTGCATGTCTCTCTAGGCCAAGCAACTCTTTTCAGTTTCTTTCTTTCAAGTCCGTGAGATAGTCAGTTGAAGCCTCCTTTTCAGCTGGTTGCGTTTGTCTCTTTTTGGGAAGAATATGATACAGATATTTGGCAGCGGTTTCCTTTGTGTATGCAATAGTAAGAGCTAGTTCTCAAAATGTTTGCAATATATGCAGTCATCAAAGGCAGTAAAAGCTCTTTCCTAACTGCTGGCTGCTTAAATTGTTTGTATTCACTCAAATTTTCTCCAAGTGGGGTATCAGATTTAAATTCACTGGTCTCCTGCTGCTTCTATGCTTGCACAGTTTATGCCTCCTGGGAAAGAATTATTTTGTGTTACGTTTGTATACACATCTGTCATGAGTATCACCTACACGCGCACATTCTTAAATGGGAGATGCTGCACTGACCATCTCATCTCTAATGGACTGCATGACTGTCAGTATAATTGTCAAAAATAGTTGAAATCCAACTTCTAACCTCTGTCTGTGACACTGGGCAAGAGAATGCTTTTATGTTTGAATAAGGCTTCATATATTGGGCAAAAGAAAGGAAAGATCAGTTCAGATTTTTCTGTCAGAGGCTAGTCAGTAACACAACAGGTTTCAAAATGGATAAAAATAGGAGAAAAAAAGTGCTTTGGTTTTATATCATAGAGGTTGCAGTATTCAGCATTAAAGATCTTGATTTTTCTATAATAATTATGTAAATCAGGTAATTTTTTGCATTATTTGGTGCTTGTAGGAAACATTTTAAATTAAAAAATGCCATACAGGGAGATCTCAAAATGTAGCTGATTTTTGTAGGTACCATGGAGTCTGGTTTCACAGTACCATGCCATGTTTCAGTTAACAATTTTGGCTAAGATATGAAAATATTGTAAGTAAAGTTTACAGTATAGGTAGTAAACAAAATAAAAACAGTGTGTATAACCTTAATGAGATTATCTGAATTAGCAGGGTGTTATGGCAATTGTTTTACACAGGTCAACACCAAGATAAATATATTTGGGACCAAAGAATACAGAAGATGCTCAACAGGACAAAAAATTATTGGAAAGTAATAATGTAAAGACCATTTTAGATGGCTGTGTCCTCCGTTGGGGAAAAAAAGAGCTAATGTTCTGCTTAGAATTACAGTAGTAGGAATAGCAGGTAGGTGCCTGATACTGATCTTACATTCCTATAACAAGGTACATGAGGTGTTTAGCATCCAGCAGTGAAAGGTGGCAAGGAATGGGTGAAGATTAGCTGTGCAGAGGTTTCCCTGTCATGTTACACATTCACTGCATTAATGCATTGGAGACTAGCTCACTTCTGTAAATGTAGCTATGACTATTCAGATATTGTGTCTGTACTTCAAGAAGGGTGTGAAATACTGGAGAACCTTCAAAAGAGAATATAAAAAAATTAACCAAAGGAAATGGAAAACAAACCTTTGAACGCGGACTTAATGTATACTCTTTACATTTATATAAGGTAGAGGTGAATATGGAGAAGGATATTTGATCTTGGGAGTGTAAGCAAGCATCTTAGTCACTGTGAAAAAGATACAAGATGAAATGGTGTGTAGGTATTGTCTATGTTCAAAATTAACTCCTAAAACCAAGATTGATTGATGCAATAGTAGTTGTGGTTTGAGCCCAGAGAGCAACTGAGCACCACACAGGGATTCACTCATCCCTTCCCCTCAGGAATGGGAAGGAGAAAATAAAGTAAAAGGCTCCAGAATTGAGATAAGGACAGGAAGGGGTGGCTCACCCATTGCAGTCACAATTACAGGCAAAAGACAGATTCGTTGGGGGAATTAAAAGAACATCACTTTAATTCAAACACTAACATAAACAACACTTAACGGACAGGGTGAGACAGTGAGAAGCCCACTACATCCAAAAAACACCTCCCCCCCACCCCTTCCTTCTCCTCAGGCTCAGCTTTGCTCCCAATCTCTCTCCCTCCTCCCCCAGCAGCGCAGGGGGCAGGGGATGGGGGTTACAGCCAGCTCACTGCTCCTGCCTTCTCGGGAGGTGGGGTGAACACCGCACATCCCTCCCCTGCTCCACGGGGCTCCCCTCTCCCTGCAGACACTCCTCCATGAACCTTCTCCAGCGTGAGCGCTCCCCACGGGATGCAGCCATTCCCATGCTGCTCCCAGCGCTGAACCACAACCGTGGGGCCACTTCTCCCCTCTGAGTCCCGGCTTCCTTTAAGAACACACCTGTGCTGGTGTGGGCTCCTCCACAGGCTTCAGGTCGGCCTCTGCTCCACTGGTGACCTCCATGGGTGGCGGGAGGCCGGCCCTGCCATCTCACCATGGCATACAGGGGGGTCTGTTACAGCGCACCTCCGCCCCTTCCTCCTCCTTCCTTCCACTTCTCATAACTCCAGCTCCCCCTCCCAGCTTCCCCTTCTTAAATACTTTACCACAGAGCCACATCCACCGTTGCTAATTGGCTCAGCCTTGGCCAGAAGCGGGTCCAACTTGGAGCCAGGGGAGCTTTCAGGAAGTTTCTCACAGGGGTTCACCACTGTGGTCCCCTCCCACACTAGCGCACACACCCCCTCACCCCCCCAACTCTCAAACCTGGCACAGTAGTATCAGCACAAAGCTCACTATTAGCTGAGTTTGTAATAATCTGACTTCACAATGTTTTCTACAATATGTGATTAAATCTTTTTCAGAATGGTGTATTATGTGTATAGGTAAGTTGTGGGGTCACGGTCGTCTTTTCTAAGTGATGAAGTATGAAAGTTTTGCATTCGTTTTGTTCTCTTCCTGTGTCTGGGAGCACAGGATTACCTTAATTGTTCTCAGCATTCTTGTAGTGCAGCACTGCAGTGGGACAGGGATTATAATTGTATCCTCCATTTTGGGGCTGTAGCTGATTCCCTAAACAAGTCCAGGGGAATTTTAATTCGCTTTCTTACGAAACACAGTTTGCTAATGTTATTTAAGTGGATGTGTGTTTTGCTCTGGAACATCTGGAAATGGTTTTAGTTCAAGAGGCAAGGCTTTACAAGGTGAAGTAATGCTCTGAAGTAGTACAGAAAATCTTCCTTCTGATTTTCTGACAGGTGTGTATTCTGTACAAACTTCAGGCTAAAACCACCCAAATGTGGCAACTGTGAGAGGTTCAGATCTAGCCAGCCTCTCTTACTGAGAGTTTCATGTTTCTTTAAAGTTCAATGCATGGGTCCTTCTGCCCTGACCATGCATTTTTCTCACTACTTGCTTACCATGGCAGAGGCACCTTGTTCTCCACCTTTGTTTGAGTGACTGTGCTCAAGGAAGGGGCACAAAGACAGCCATCCTATCTAATAATATCTTACTAACTGAAAGCATCTGACACAAAATCGTCTTTCAAAGTAGACTCTTGTAGACAAAATAGACTTTGTAGTCCCTCAAATGCTGAGCCTAAGAAGAAAGCTCCAAGACCAGACCTGTACATGAAGCCTGTTTAAGCCCTAGCTTGACTGTTTCTTCTTTCTCAGTGAAAAAAAATCAAGGAATGACAGTGCTGCTGTGAGCACTGTGGTTCTTTCTGGTAGTATCACCAACATTCAGCTCTAGTGATACTGATGGCCTGGCCTTTTAGTGAGCATTATCAAATTGGATATAATCATATGGTTAAAATGAAAAAAGTGACCAATATGTAAAAGTAATTAAATGAAATCTTGTTTTGTGCTTGTAGCTTTAAGCTTTTTCCCTAAACATTGTTTTTATTATGAAATGTAATATATTAATTGGCAAACAAATATTTGTTTTACAGCTTTTTTATCTAGTTTACCATTTTATACCTTCAGATATATTTAGAGACTTACTTGTTATGCTTATTCAGAGAATAATGAATTATATTCTATTTACTAGATATGGATTAATTATGTTTTCTGTATTAGTATCAAGCTGCATTTAGGTAAAAATTGTATTTAAATTCCAGTGTACAGCATTTTATGTTAAAACATTAATATTCAATGTTCTGCTAAATATTGTTGTATAACAAAATACAGGGTTCATCAAAACATGTTTTGCATCTGTAACTAGGGTATAGTAAGCAAAATAACTTATCAGCAGTTATTAACTGAACTGACATTTCCTGGTTTCTATGTCCTTCAGGATTTTAGAACAAAAGTATCTTATCCTTTTGTGCTTATTTTTTTTATTTACAGATTGAAAGAGGAAAACAGCTTTCCTGCTTTTTCAGTTTCCAGACGATTTGCAGCTTTTAACTTAACAAGTCATTGAACAAAATTAATACAACATTTGTTTATATTTTTTTCCCACTCTCGCATTTTTAGAACAACTTTCTGTCGTCAGAAGTTGGCACTGCATTTCAAGGGGCTCTGCTCCATGATCCTTCTTCAGATATGTCCATAACCTTAGTGGTTTCTGTTTTCTAAATAAATATGTATTGTTTGAATGTATTTAATTTATTTTAGTAGATTATGATAGCAATATGTTTTAAAGTCTGCTGTCATAATTTCAAATTTAAATAGGTTTATTTTTCAAAAGCAAACATGCTTAAGTCCTGTTTAAATCAAGTTCTTTTGAAAAGTTAAAATATTAAATCTTACTCATTTTGGCCTGAGGTTCAGCTGACTATTTTTAGCTCAGTTAAGGACTGTGGGTTATGAAACTAGTGTGCTCAGGATCTTTCACTATAGTCTGTCATGTTTCCCGTGGATGAGCTTGTCAGCTCATGATTTATGGGGATGAGAGAGTTGAGAAAAGCCGTTAGCTGTCCCTCACATTTACTTCTTTCTCCAGCAGGCTTACATGTAATTTTCTTCTCTAAC